TTTGATATTAACGAGGCGGCAGTTAGCAGCTAGCGGTTAGCTAGTAATTATGCTAATTTACACATCAATCGTTATGTACTTTTATATTACGCTGTAACAGGATCTAGTGATATCCAAGCAACAGAGCTTCATTTAGCATGAAATAATTATTGCACTGTATATATATATATATGTATATATATGTATATATATATATATATTAGGGCTGTCAAGTTAACGCGTTAATAACGCGTTAACGCAAAAAAAAATTAACGCCACTAATTATTTTAACGCGATTAACGCATGTGTATTTTTTGTCCTCGGCCGCCGTAGTTTCAGAGCGCATCGAGTGTAAAATACCATCTACAAGCTGATGCTGACAGCCCCGCTCCTGCCGCCCGCTTGTGGCAGACTACACTTCCACGCTCACTGGCAGGCCCGGACTGGCCATCGGGAGGACCGGGAGGGAGTGTGAGCGAGGCACACCTTACGTGTTGATGTTGTTGTTAGCATCTGGTGCTAGCTTGCTGCGCTAACGGATATAAGGAGCTGTTTCAATGACATTTCGCCGACAACTGCGCCGAGCACTTGACTTTATGCAGGTAGCCAGACAGTGGGACATTGTACGAAAAGTCAGCACACTCAGCACGGATAGTACGCGCAACATGATTGCAGCGTCCAGGCAGCTCCCATTCGAGCATATATGCCTTGAGCTGCACATAGCTCCAACGATCCATCACAGTGTCTCCACATTCTCTCACACACACACACACACACACACACACACACACACACACACACACACACACACAGTATTATTGTATGAGAGAGGTTCCAGGTTGAATTGAGGCGAATATTTGTAATGTTCAGAGGTTGTTGTGTTTAATATTCATGAGAATATTTGTCATTATTCAAATGATAATAAACAAACATATAAAGCATATTTGTCCACTCATATGTTGATAAGAGTATTACAAACTTGAAAGATATCCCTCTAAGGTACATTTAGAACAGATACAAAATGTGCGATTAATTTGCGATTAATCGCGATTAACTATGGACAATCATGCGATTAATCGCGATTAAATATTTTAATCGACTGACAGCCCTAATATATATATATATATATACAGTGCAATAAGCTTCTTAGTGCAATAAGAAGCTACAGGGACGTTAATCTACGTCGGTAATATTAACTTTATTTAATACAACATTTACGGTACAAGATTTAATCATACAGCCCATGTAGTATAATATTTTACAAATGATGAATTACAGCAAACATGTGCAATATATCCATTATTACAGCTCCGCCGGCTGGCAGTAAGGCGATATGGGTCCGTTCTTATTGTGCATCCATGGGTAAAGATAAACGCATGTAGTGCTGAACACGTAACATGAACGTGCCGGGCGGCGCGGTCCCGTGGGTTAGATGCGCGTTCATAATGCAGAGGGAAATAACTCACAGAATAACGTTATTAGCACATTTTTACAACTTGAGGAACGAATGTTTTTAATAAGGGCTATACAAGTGTTCATACTGGGTAGTTTATTTAGTTTAAAAAAAATTATCCAACGATTTACAGACCACTCTTTCCCCATGTAAGTCAATGGGAAAAAGTGTTTCCGGGCCTGGCAACCAAAAGGAAGTGTAGTACCGCCGTTTGGCCAGCACGAATATTTTCATCTGAGTCCGGCGCACTTCCTGGGGGCTTGGTTTACACTCCTCCGTTCTCTATTCACTTCCGGCAAAAGTCCCTTCAAAATAAAGGTCCGGATCTTATAACTATCAAAATAAAAGTACAAAACTAAAACTTTACCACAGGAAAACATGGGACACAAATATAACCACCTCTACAAAAGGTTAAACATATTAAAGGTAATTTACACTAGTTGTTCAGTGTAATATGCCAACCTAGTATGAACAACAGCTAGTGGTTCATATTAGGCTAGCAAGAACATGTTTACAATTGCAATCTTATACGGGTAGTCTGCTACGTTCGGTCATTCATTGTAGCTGGCATAAAAACAATGTTTTCCCTAGCAAACTCATGTCTAGCTCTTGGTAGCCTTCTTTTTTAGCTCGGTAGCATACACGCTAGGAACGCCAACTATAATGTAATTAAGTTTCGCGACTGACCGTACGGTAAATCACCCGGAGTATACTGTCTATGAGTATTTTGTGTGTGAATGCAGACATTCTCCTGCTATGAGATACACGTAAGGCCATCTGCTGACATTGGAGTTGATATATGGAAACGATGGCAACTTAGTTAGCCCAGTTAGCACTGTGTCAATGGCTTAGCAGCCCGAAAAACGTTTACCCATTTAAACAGTCGTGGTAGATACCTTGTTTGTTTTAAACATCATAAATACACAAACAACAATGAATACTTACAGGTTGTGTACCCGAATCTCCCGCTGGTCCATACAAAGTAGGAACAGCATCGTTCTTCAGTGCCCTACGCTGTGCATATCCGGCATGAATCGCTGAAAGGTTTGTGAAGCTTTGGTCCGTGAAGCTTTGGTCCGTGAAATGCTGGCAGAGGGTGTGGCCTCTGGGTATTCACACGTCACAGTACCCAGGAAGTAAACAATGGAAAATGAGAAATCTCCAACGAGGCGTTTTGGGGCAGCATAGACTGTGTTAGAGTTTTACTCGCTACAGGGTGTACTTTGAGGGTTTTTGACTCTGCGGACCGTTTACATGCATAAAAACCTTCATAACACACAAGGGGACGGGTAATAACCGGAAAAACATGATGGGCCCTTTAAGTCCACGAGTGTAAATCATGTATGACTGAAAATGGAAATGGAAATAACACTAAACAAAACGCTAACAAAGTCAGCTGAGATTTAATTTGCCAGTACATTTGTATAATGTGAATACATTTGTTTTACTATTTTGTTTACAAAAATGGCAGGTTCTGTATGACTGATTTCACTGTAAACTTGGCACCAGGGAACTTCACGTTACCTCATTTTCCCTTTTCTTGTGGCTGAGCATCCTATGATATGATGCAACAAGTCTTAAGGGCTGGAAGTCATGGGACTGGAGTCAGAGAGGAGATAACAAACAGGGTCTCCAGTATCATTTCTCTCACGAGTCTCATTGCTTCATCAGCATGTGCCTCATGGTGTCATTTCGATAGGACTGAGGACTCAAATGCAGAAGGACACAGAGCAGGTCAAGTGGTGTACAGGTGAAAAATGGTAGGTCCGGAAACATCCTCAGAAATAAATGGGCCTGAGGGAAGGGGGGTAGGGACAGAGGGGCAGACTGATCAGAATTCTGAAGCAGCTTTCACTTTGCTTTCATGCTTCAGAAGTATCTTCCTGTTGAATGCTGCCCACACATTTGAGTGTAACCTTTCAACACCCCCCTGCAATGTATCCTATCGTTGCATCTTTTTCCCAGTGCAGACACATATGGGGTCCCTTTTCTATCTAGCATATCTTAAATAAAAGCCTCCACTACAATCACTACCTAAAGTCCTTCTGTCAGAAAATAAAAATACATTCAATGACTTAAGGATCATTCAATTAGAAAGACCAGCCAGGAACCGACCTGGATAAAGTTGCCTACATTCAGGAAAACACTTACCGGAACCTTGTTGAATGGTATTTCAAAATAAAGGCACAAAAGTTGGCACTAATAAACATGACCAGTTTGATGTATTGTTCTTTAGAATCTGTCAATGAGCAAACAATGACAATAACTTTCATTCAAATATAACAGATGAGATGCAATTGTTCTAGCTTTAGATCCACCTTCATTGTGTGACTTTTACAGAAAAGAAAGAAAACCTGACAACCTTAAAGGTAGGGTAGGTAAGTTTGAGAAACCGGCTCGAGATACACTTTTTGTTATATTCCATGGAATGCTCTTAACATCCCGATAGCAGTGCTTTGACAAAAAATCCATTAAAAAATGTCGTCTGTGGAAGCCGTAATACTGTAAAAAGTACGACCAATCATTTTAGCCGGCCCGGCTAAAAAAACTGGATGGCCTACCTGTCTGTGCACAAACTTATCTCGTGCCCTCATTGGTCATGTGCGCGTTCGTGTGTGTTGGAGGAGGGGCTCTATAAGGAAGTGGCAGATTTTCTCCGGTTGTGTATTTTCAAATTCTAGCAATCTCGAGCCGGTTTCTCAAACTTACCTAACCTACCTTTAAGAGTGAATTAATGCAGCCTTGGAACAAATTAACCATCCACCTCTACCTCCAAGCCAACTTCATACTGTAGCTGTTTTAGGATTTTTACATTCCTAACTGTTGCACTCATTCATTAAAACATTCACTGTAACAATAACAATGCCTCAATTATGGTGATCAATTCAATGAAACAAACACACCTTAACTTTAAACCAGCATGTATTATGTCCAGGCACATTGTGTAGATTTTACAGATTAAAGAAAACCCTTATTGTGTTTCATCACATAATGATATACAATTGTCTTATAAGGAGATCATCAAATACCTACAAATGTACGGCCAGGATAGACTCACAATAAATTACATTAAAACACAAGCAGTTCCTTCATTCATAAGAGCAGATGTGCAACGCTTCATTTAAAATAAGTCAAACTCTTACTCTGACAATTATAACAATAAATATTGTAGTATCAATAAAAACGTTTTATCTAGGTTCGCTTATAGGCCAGGTTGTATTTCATGCATTTTACGCTGATTACATATTCTCGTAGGTTAGCATGACCACATTTTTGGATTTACTATCCAACAAATGTTCCAAATGTTTGCAGGCCTTCATCTGCTGCTTTAAAAAACAAATGCACATGACAATATGGTACTCTTTTGCTATAGGAGTTTTAAAATGTAAGACCTTAAATTACAAAAATGGCTTATAAACATTGTCATTTGTGTGCTTATCTGGCTACTCATCCATGAACCTTGAAATACATATTTGTTAGGTTTATTTTGAAACTCTTCACCGGAAGTACCCCGGATATCCTGACTAGTTTGACGAAAATCTGGAGCGCAGAGCCCCAGCAGCGGACCGTTCAGCCTCGCTCAGTCGGACACACTTCAGTCCACTGAAACAGAAGCGAGATTTCAATTAGGAAAGTGGTTTATAGGAATGTACTGAGAGAAGGCAGCCTGGACAGAAAGGTTGAGAACTCAAAAGTCCAGTTTTTCTTTCTATTTTCTTTTTGAACGTCAGAGTTATTTTTTAAATCTCCACTTTCGGACACGGTGATGTGCTGTGCTCTCCGGACAGTACCTGCTGTGATGGGCCGGGCCGGGAGATGAGCAGCGCACGGTGTGGGGGTGCCAGGGGCGCACGAGGAGGTCTGGACGCTTAGGTAAAAACTATTTTTGTTAATGTTTGCTGTGTTCATCTTAACTATAGCTATTCTATCAAAGCTTTAAGGAGCTTGTGTGTCGAATGATGCAGCCTATAAGAGTTTATTTTCCTTTTTTTTCTCCTTGTGGTCCAAACGACATTTTGTTCTGAAACTTTTGGAGGTGTTCTAGAAGCTATGGTTTGTGTGTGTGTGTGTGTGTGTGTGTGTGTGTGTGTGTGTGTGTGTGTGTGTGTGTGTTAGATGAGGGAATTAACGAATTTAGATGAAAAGAAAGAGGAAAAAAACGTTTCCTCTTTCAACAGGCAACTTGTCTTATTTGTATTTGAACAGCAAGCCAGGTTCTGTTATCATTATCTGCTTGTTCTCTTTCTACCATGGTGATCCATAACGTATACATCATTCACCATTTAAATCACCTGCCATTGCACAATATCAATGATGCAGTTTATGCTGGTTCACTGTTTACTCTTTCTTAAACATGCTGGAATATTCCTTTACTGTTTCTTTTGGGAACCTTTTCTATTTTTTATGGTATTGTATTGTATTTTATTGTTACTATTTGCTTTGTGGAGCTAGACAAAAAACAAAATCTATACACGTTGGACTGTGTTTGTTATGTAGTGTGTTTGTTATGTACATTTTGTATTTTTGTTTGTTGGTGTCCAGGACAGGGAAGTCGTTTTTGAAAGTGTAAGAAAGGCATAAGACAGAATATGAATCCATGGATATTGTATTAGATGTTAAATCTTATCTGCTCATGGCAAATGTAAGGCATACCTGCATGATCCCTTTAAATGTATTTATGAAAGGTTTGGGGTAGTCATTCTCTTCTCTTTTTCTCTTCCTCTCTCTCTATGGCTTATGTTTTCATGAAAGTCATTGATATGCAAATGCTTATTGATATTGGCTTCTTTTGGTTTGGGCTGTGTGATATGAAGTGCTGCATAAAGCTGGTTACATGATGTGTGTAAATATGCTTTTAAGTTCGATTCAAATGTGACTGCTGCACACAACACACATTCACAAACTGTATGAAAATGGTTTGTTACCTCCACTAACTACATTTCCTTTCATTTACCCTAAATGTCTTGTTATCACCGCGTAAAGACACGCCAGACTGTGCTGGGTAATCATCTAGAATCCGAAGACATTAGACAATCACTGCCGGTTGTTTAGCTGCCTACATTTGACATCTGCACAGAAGAGTTATTGCAGCCTAATGCAGCTGTAACCAGCGTCCCTGTAATATGCCCTCAGGGGCCGAGAGTGGCCCTGTGGTGATCATCAGTTAGTTTACAGAAGCCTGAAGAGGCCACATCAGACACAAATCAATGTTATATCCCTATAAGGGTCTAATTGTGTGCAGCTGCTGTAATAAGGAACATCTTATTACATCCAGATCATCCAATTATTGTTCTGTGATCATAACGCTGCACCATTAGTCGATGAATCAATACATTATTTTGCAGACAATTAATTAAAAAAATATATTGATTATCAATCTAATTTATTAGTAATTTCTTCAATCAAAAATGTGTAGAAAGTATTTACGGGTTCTAGATTTGCAAATGTGCTGATTTGCCTGCCCTCTTTGTAATACATGACATAAATGGAATATATTGGACAAAATAAGTATTGCAATCTGAACAGATTGCTTGGGATGTAGGAAACTATTAACCTTTTAAGCACGGCGGTCCCCCCATTGGACCCCTCCCACCGTTTTTTTTTTTTCGAGATAATGTCTCCGGGCTTCTTAACATTTATGAAACTATTAATGTGTAGCACCAGATTAACGGGAAGAATCTCAGCTAACTGAAGATATGAACCATTTTTACCAAAACAAAACACAAGTCTCATAAGAAACGTCTAAATGACCCCTGAGCGAAAAAATTCTAACGCACTGCGGCACACAATCCAAGATAAAGATACCCTTATTACCTTGACTCTCTGCACCTCACTGACAGGTTTGTCCTTGGAGAAGCTGAACTGGACTCTCATGAAAATTGTCTTCTGATTTAAAATGGGATGAGAGATGCTGATGTGATTGTCCATTAGTGAAGCCTGTCCTAAGAACAATTTATCATCCCATCTGTCTTCATTTGCAGATTGTGCGCCGGTACACCTGGTTTGCAAGAACTGCCCCAAATGTGTTCTTGTACTTGCTTCAGAGCCCTTCCTCTCCCTCTGCGTCCTTTCACCCCCCCCCCATCTCCAATAAGTAATATCCTAAGTTGTCCTGCCTGAGGTCTCCCTGGTTTCTCAGACATCAGACCACTCTTTTGTAATGGTATGATGGCCAGAGATTTGATTTGGTCAGGATGGGTAGGCGCACATTTACAAAGGACAGATATTGATTAACAGACGGTGGTCTTGGATGTTGGTTTGGACGAAATTAGCTAATGTCTTTTTATATTATCCTCTTCCTCCTGAAACTATTGTCAGAAAGCTTGAGGTTTCACTGGTTAAAGTCTTTTTTAAATAAGCAAACAGAGATGGAGGGTTGTTGTGAAGACCGGACAAGTCTCAATCACAAGAGCTGTGGGTGGAGCCTGTGGGGGGCATTGTTTAAAGAAAGTGATCGATTTGACCTATGAACTTATGTTGATAATTGGAACTAGAAGTAAGGCTTACATTTAAAAGCTATACATTACAGTAAATCAGACTTCCATTTGACTTAATGTCTGCAGATAACATAGCTAGTAATGGCACACTGCTCCCTCCTGTCTCTTCCGGTATTTACTATGACAAACTTACATTTTAAAAGTTAATATTCAGTGGAGGTTGGTCACTGCACTGATGCATGTCGACGTAACGAATAAGAACACTTTGAAAAAATGTGTTTACAATACAAGAAAACCTGAAATGAAATCTATATTAAATCAGTAACTTTAACAAATGATTGACATAGATTCTTCTTGACACAGTTTTCCATCCTTTGTCTGTGAAAGGTGCATACAGATAGCTGTTATTTCTATGGTCAATGTTCATCATTTCTTATGTCAAGCCTGTAAAAGCCTATGTTGAGCCCCTTTAAGAGGGGTTATATTTAACTATTCCATACTCATACTTTAAATATATGTTTAAAGACTGCTTTAAAAAAAATGATATTTTCACCCAAAACCTTACAGTATGTCCCCACTACTTTTCAACACAAATGGTCAACCCTTGATTACTTCAGTATGCACAATAAAATGTAATCAAAATGGTGTCATTTACGCCCACCAAATGATGTGGTGCTGAGCGATGTATTCGGTATGGATTTGATTTGGCCCTTGTGATAAAAACAGAGCGTACAGGGGCATTTTGTTACGTACATTGTTGATTGCTATCATGTTGTCATCTTATGTAGTTGGGGATTGAATCAATGAAGGACTACTGTAGGTGAATGCTGATTGAAGCCTACTTGAGAGACAGGGCAAGCACGGCTGCCATGAGAACTGGAAATAGCCTCTCAACTCATAACAGTCTGCAAATTGCTTTCAGCTATCTGTTGAAGTTGAACATAGCGGGGCTCTGAGCTAAATGCTCTAATCATGCTGAAGTTACGAGGTGTTACGTTTACCACGTCCGTCATCTTACTTTATGCTGATATTTGTTAACAGCACAAAATACAGAGACAAAATTGAAATAAAAAAGTACTTCATTTTCTCGTTGGATTCAAAAGGCAGAGTTTTTTCTTTGACACATAATATCACATTCAGCCAATGACACATTAAAAGACATTCAAAGGAAAACACAATACATAATAGAAGCCAGAGCGGCGTTCACACCGAAGTACTTTACCCCGTACTTTTCGCGTTCGGTTCCGTTAGTACCCCTTATGTCGCGTTCACACCAAAAAGAGTACTTAGTGCCGGGAACTTTTACCCCCATTTTTAGTGCCTGCTGAGAGGTGGTACTTTCCTGGTGCCCCAGTTCTGATTGGCGAGGGTGGATCAAGGTAAAATTCACATACATTTTGTGTGCTGAGTAGCAAGCTGATTAAAAAACTTAAGTAAAAAACAGACAGCTGAAGCTGATTGAAATGTTTAACATGTTGCAATGCAAAAATAAATACCCATCCTCCCCCAGTAAAAGGTTTACCTTGTGGAGATATTGAGCACTATATCAATCTGTGTTTTTACCTCAAATCAGAACCAAACACAAGCATACTTTGTCACAATTTCTGGCCAGATCTAACTTGAAAGAAGTGCGTCATTTCAGCGTGGAACCACTCAGCCAGAGAGATTTGCATGTGCAAAAACCGAGGTCGTATGAACCAAATTGCTGATAAGAAGGTTTGTGTTGCGGACTGTTGTTAAGAAGCTCAAAGAGAGAAGGAGTTTAATTTCAAAAAGAAAGTCTTGAATATTTCATGCACTTTATTTCTTTTGTAGACTCCTCCATTTGATATTTCTGATATGTATTCATCAGGGTGCGTTGCGGAACGGATTACACAAGAGCACCCTGCACCTTTTGTCTTTTATCACATCACCAACAAACACATTTTGCATTAACATACAGTAACTGTGCACACATTCATCCAGAGGTTATTTAGTGGGAATGCTGATACAGCTGATACAACTTTTAAATCAGATTCATACTTTTAGAGATCTTAAACATTGTTCAGACCTTGGTAAAGAGGCCTTTTTCAGATTTTAACATTAGTGTGTATTGCGCAGCTCGTTAAGGCTAGAGTGCGTGATGTCACAACGAGAGTGGAGGACAGCTTGAAATTTGCCTTCATATTTTTTTTTTAAACCTGCCATAATTCCCAAACCCTACACTCCTGAGACATAATGTTTCATTAGAAACGTAGGAAAACATCTCGTAGCTTGAAAAATAAAAATAAATTAAGCAAAATAATTAAACAAAATGCCTCTTGAGGGCATGAAGTGACAACAACTTTCAACATGTCTCCATTAAGAACCATTGTAAATTCAGGCCGATCTTTCCTCACAGCAGCAGCCGCACACCTTTAGTTAATCTACCAAAAAGGCCACATTATTGACCCGAAA